TTTTTTTTTTTTTTTCGTCTTTTTTATATTTTCTTTTCGTTTTTTTTTTTTCTTTTTTTTTTATCTTTCTTTCTTTCTCTTTCTTCTCCGCTCCTCGTGCAAATCTTACCTCGATCGATCGATGTATAATAATAATAATAATAATCGATAAGATTCTAAACACGCTACTCGCGGCAAGAGACAAATGACGAAGGTATAAGAGCTAATCGTCGAATCGTTAGTTTTCTCTCACATACGTACACACACGCACATACTCTCTTTCTCTCTTCTCGCTAGTTTTTTTTTTTTTTTTTTTCGTAGTTTTCTCCGTAATGCGGCTTTGCAGTTATACAGAGGTAATCGTAATGCGAGGTGACTTATATTCGACTATGTCTCGATGCTTTCTTTCTCTATCTCTTTCTCTCTCTCTCTCTCGCACACACACACACATATATACGATCTTCGATATCACACATTTCTCCTTTACATTGCTCGTTTTCTCGATCGATCCTCTTTCGAATTTTCTCTCGAAGCGAAATGCATCGAATAAAAGAGAGAGGAGAAAAAGGAAGGAGAGGGGGAGGAAAAAGTCGCTTCGAGGAATCGGTCTCTCGCGCAGGAAGAATGCTTTGCAAAGCGTTTTTCGCGCTTTGCCACGCATCGTTCGATTCGACGAAAAAGTATACGTATACGCCTCGCATATAGCGCGCAAAAAAAAGGATCTAAGGGAGGAGGCTATAAGTAATATTGTAAATAAGAATAGCTCGAGACCGTATTATCTTTTTTTCTTCGTTTTGTGTATACAAAAACATGTACACGTATATGTATCTGCGTGTACCAAAAACAACTTATAACGATCCTCTTTTTATTTCTTTCTTTTTTATTTCTTCCTTTTTTTGTCATTCATTATTTTATTATTCGTTTTATTTCTTCTCACTCTCCTTTTTTTATTTCTTTTTTTTCGTTCGTTTATTCTTTCCTTTTGTTTGTTAATCCTTTTTCAACAATTCATTCAGTTTATTTTAATTTCAATATTTTAAAGTGGCACTACGAAAAAACCTGAAAACAAGGTTCTCAACATCGGGTGGAAAACGTCCCTCGGAAGATACGGAAGTCGTCTAGCGTTATTAAATTCGTAAAAGCACGTGTAACACCC